TGTGTGTGTGTGTGTTTCCAGGCCCTGTCTGTGGGGATCTTCCCCTACGTGTTAAAGCTGCTCCAGAGTTCAGCCAGAGAGCTGCGGCCGCTGCTGGTTTTCATCTGGGCTAAAATCCTCGCTGTGGACAGTGTAAGTTATATAAAACACTCACAAACATTAAAATCATTCTGCCTCATCTCCTCTAAATCCTTATTGTTAAGTTTTTATTTTATCCGCTTTTTTTACATGACAGGTTTATTGTCGTTATGTGAATTCTGTCTACTGCACATAATGACAGACAGAGGGAATGAGAGAAAAAGTGTGTGAATAGGCAGAAATCCAAAAAAATAGTCAGGGTGTATTTGGTGTGAATGCATACATATTGATGTATGTGTATGTATTTCTTGCACTGATTATTTTGCAATGACCGAAAAGACCAGCCATGCTCATGTACATACTGTATTATATATATGTTTTTAGCAATATAACCTGGGTTAGACATTAATGACAGATTAATAACTATGTTGATTCTTGGTTGGTTTCAATCAAAATGAAATGGGAGGGCGACCGGTTAGCTCAGTCCTGGGTAGAGCTGTGCGACCCGGCATGTACTCATAGTTGCCTGCAGCGGCCGGGTTCAAATCTTAGCCTGTGGCCCTTGTGCTGCGTCGTAGACTCCCCTCTCTCTCTACCCACCTTTCCTGTCTATCTACAGCTGTCACTATCCAATAAAGCCAAAAAAAATCACTTACATTTTTTTTTTATTAAATTGGCACGCATTTTTTTGTAAATGTTTCAAACACACTGACTTTCATCTCAACCAGTAAGCTTATCTGCAAGTTATGTTTCATATTGCAGCTCACTAAAAACCTGAATAAATACTAAAGCTGGGAATAAGTAAAATGCTTCAGAATCATAGACAATACACATCTGGACACTTTTATTTCCCCAGATGCCTACATAGAAGACTTCTTCTAAAAAGCAGTGTGCCATCAATATTCATTCATGGTTTGCAGGCGCTGCCATGGGAGAAAGCAGAAATGGACAAATACTCCCTATGACAGGACTGCTGTGACTGCTGTATGAGTGGATGGTGACCTTAAGCAACATCTGCACTGACCTGAACCCTCCTTTTCCCCCTTCTTTCTCTCTCTCTCTCCCTCCCTCTGTCTCTGCAGTCATGTCAAGCTGACCTGGTCAAAGACAACGGACACAAGTACTTTCTGTCTGTGCTTGCTGACAGTTACATGCCAGTGAGTATCCACCCATCCTATTATTACATTTGTGAAAAAAGTGACCCATGTTATTACGGTATGGTATTATGATACATGGAATTATGAGAGGTCATATTATGCTAATTTTCAGGTTACTGACTATAATAGGTTGACATGCTTCAATGTTCAGTTTTCTCAGTATATCTCATATTAGCCATTGCTGCAGCACCTCTGTTCAC